CACCACTCCTGGGACCTGGACACCGCAGGCCAACGCGCCTGTGGCGTCCTGACGATCCAGAGCCCTGCCAGCACACCACTCCCGGGGCGCCGGCCAGAAGAGTCCCCTGCCACTGCCGTCGACTGTGGAGACGACTGCGCGCGGCGCTGAGGCCCCGAGGCAGCCTCGCAGAGCTCCCCGGGGGCCCCCGAGGCAGCCCCCGGAGGGCCCCCGGACCTGCCCACTGGCACCACAGCGAGCTCCAAGACGGCCCGAGGCACCCAACTGGAGCGGGGACCGACCGTCCTGGCATTCCTGTAGGCCTACCACGACATGTTCTTAGAACCCAAAAATGTTCGAAGAAGAAAACCCATGTTCTTAGAACATAAGCCCGATGTCTTAAAACAAGACAGTCTCACCCAGAAATGTTCTAAGAACAGTTCGTGGAAAGGAAACCACAAAAGGCTCTTAGAACCTTGTTTGGTAGACCTATAGGCGAGCCAGGACGCTTCGCCTGCTTGACCAACATAACCCTAGGACGGCCCAAAAAGACGCCGGGACGGCCCATGAGGGCCCAGGAGGGCCACACCTTGAGAAGGAGCCGCCCGACAGCACACACGGCGGTCGAAACCCCGAGGGCCGAGCGCGCCCCCGTCCGCCATGGGGGCGGCGGGGCCTGGAGGTCCGGGCGCGGGCGGGCCGGGGAGCCCCCGTGTCGGCCGCGGGCACAGCGAAGCCCTGGGCGCCCTGGGGTGGGGGAGCCGCCTCGGGGCCGCCTTGGGGTCCCCTCTTGGGGCCGTCCTGGATGCTCCTTGGGCCGTCATGGGAGGCCTCTTGGAAACCTCCTGGGGCGATCTTGAACAGTTCGATACCAAAATCTGTTTTGGGCTTCGGCGTCCAAGGGCTGGCATGTGGGCCCCAGAATTGGGCTTCGCGCAGAGCGAGCGATTTGATTAAGGGCCGCGTTCCCGATGCGAATATTCGCATTGATGTTAAAGCCCGCGTCGTCAGCGTTGATTCTTGGGGGCCCCTCTGCGGGTCCGATGGGCCGTCCTGCGCGCCGCCACGCCGGTGGCAGGTCGCGCGGCCCAGCGGAAGGGCGGCGGAGGAGGGGAGCGAATGGCGGACCGACGGGCGGCCGCCCGCCCGCCGTCCGTGGAGAGCTCGCGCGACGCTCTGCAGGACGAGTGCGCGCGGCGCTGGGGCGGGAGCCGCACTCTGAAGCCGGCCCGCCCTCCACGAGTGAGGCGGCTTTGAAGACGAAGATGCGCGCGGCGCTGAAGCGGGAGGAGAGCCGCAGTTTGAAAACGACCCGCCCTCCATCCGCGAAGCTGTTGCAAGTTTCAGTTTCAGGCTCCCAGGTGGTGAAGAAGTCTCAGGCGAAACGCCCGGCACGCCCGGCCGAACCGCCTCGGGGTGCG